ATAAAATAACCTTTCCAATTATCCTATGTACTCCAAATGTAACCGATTAGCCAGTATTCCTCTGAACCCACCAACATCGACTACATGACAGGCCAAGCGTAAACAACGACATGTGGCCGAAGTTATCATATGAATAAAATGCTTATATACAGACATCTATTTCATCATGCTAGTTACTACGGTCAACTACTGTAGAGAATTCTCCTAAGCAGAGGACCCAGTGCTGCCGTCCAGCGCGGACGCATATATTTCCAGAAATACGCACAGTCATGCCGGTCGCAGAGCGGTGTTTTTGAAAAAGGATGTAAAAAATACCATCATCTAATATACAATATAAAAAAGCAGCTCCTGCCACAATAGCGTCGAAGCTGCCGCGGCCACGTATATCCACCTACCTAAACAGTAGAATAGATACAACCAAGAAAACCTTGTCAAGCTCGCAAGATACGGACAAGAATAACAATTCAAGAATTGCCAAAAAAAACTATAATTATAATTTGTGTGAAGTAACATATTTATACAACTTTTAATTAATTCAATTAATTTAAAAACTTACAAAACTGAACACAAAAATTTAGGAAATATAGTAGTGTATCTATCACATCACTCGAAATTTAATAAGGTCATTTAGTATTTCTTCAATCAACAGAAAAGAGTAAAGTAGAGCGGAGCTTAAAGGTACACTGAAAAAAAATCCACCATCATTATCTCAAAAACAAGCAAAATATAGATTTTTTTAGTGATATTTTAATTTTAAAGTGAAAAGTTAAAGAGGTGTAACTAGCATCACCTTAAATATTGCCAAAAACGCTACCAGAAGATAATCGAAAATGTATCATTAAATCAATGATTCAATGTATTATGTATCAATATTTTTTGGTTTTGAGTTCTGGTATTTAGTTTATGATACTGAATATAATTTTTAGGTATACGCTATTCAAATGTTTTATAAGATGGATTTATATTTTTTGGTTTTGAGTTCTTGTATTTAGTTTATGATACTGAATATAATTTTTAGGTATACGCTATTCAAATGTTTTATAAGATGAATTGTTAGTTTTAAGTTAGATTCAACAGATTTTTATATAACCTCTAAAAAAGCTTACAAAAGGATAAAAAGGACCAACTAAAACTTTACATATGTAAACAATAATAAATAAGTAATATAAAAGTTAATTAAGTTAAAAAAGTATTTAAGGTAATAGTTATTCGTACTTTACAGATACATATCCTTTCAAAATACGAGATCGAAGTTATATACAATGAAACCTTTATAAAAAATGTTCCCATAAAATTTGTATTTTACATTGGTTAAATAATGTAGCTATTATTCCAAAAAATCGCTTTAAAATTAAAAAATGACGTTGAATCTATTTGTCCCCTGTCTGTCCTTTCTTACTCTGCTAATCTGGCAAAAAGCAATAAATAACTAGTTTAGACAAATAGTAAAACAACATTTTTTATAATTAGAAGTTAACTAGGAATTTTTCTGAGCTATGCTCCGTAGTTATTTGTTTGATATATGTTATGTGTTTTTATCTAGTTCATTTAGATTACACAGTATCAGTATAACTGAAAGTTAAATTGTACCTTAGTGCTCCCGCCCTACCCTAAAATCTATAAAAAAAATTTATTTTGGATTTAATTTTATACATATTAGTCTTACTAAAAGGATAGCTATAAAAATAATAGATTGATATAAAATAATAAAAAATAAAGACTTTCAAAATATATTCTCATACTACAATGGCAAAGTCTCGACTTTGTAAACAAACTTTTTACTTGTAAATATAGATGCATAATATGTTTGAAAGCAAAAATAGCCTTTTCGGGCATAATGGGAAAAAAGTTAAGTCAAAAATACTAATTTAAAGTATGTAAATATATATTATCTACTAGAAATGACAACTAACAGGTTGCCTTTTAATAGCCATCTGTAGAAAATAAAAAAAAAACATTTGCTAATTAAGTTCATGAATTATAAAGATTGTAATGCATTCATATAAAAATACTAAAACTTACAACGTTATACTTGTTTATTCACATAATGTATATCAAAGAGTATAAAATATTAATAATTTGTGTCGGCATTCAAGATATATAAGATGTGAGAAATATCATAAATTATTATCTTAAAAGGATTTTAAACGAATTGGAACCAAAATTATCATACTTGACACATTTGTTGTAAACACTTTTAGATCAGATAAATATTGCTTTAGAAAATCTCAAATCTCAAAAAGCTTTTTATTGAGCTCTATTCATTTATTCGAGTTTTATAATTTTTATTAAAAAGATTTTGCTTAAAATTAGTAATTGTATATAGAATAAAAAAGCATTGTATATAGAGTAAAAAAGCACACTTATGAGTAAATGTGTTACATATTACTGATTAAAAATGTAACAATTTCTATCAAAAATTATTATATGACTGATTTAAAAAAGCACAATTTTATAGAAATCTAGCCTATTGTAAATTATTAGTCAATATATATTTTTCTTATAATTGTACGAATATATTGTATAAAAGAACAAATCCTAAATCTAAATTTCTTTGAACAAAAATCATATTTATTGTTAAGATGATTTCATACCACGAACCACCGCACCGGCCCCAGAACCTTTGGCGTCTATAGTGTTCATTATATCCCACGCATACGTCCCGCACTAGACGTAGAGCAAGAGCAACATCACATTCAAGAGATGCCGAGATTAAAAAGAGTTTATTGAGCATGTCAAATATTTGTAGGTAGTCCTCTCGTGCATGAAATTAATTAATCAAATTTCAATCGTAATGACTGATAATGAAACGATGGGCTATTGACAGTGGCCGTGTTTAACAGTATACAATAGAAGAGAATTAAAAAACGAAAGCTTGTATTGAGCCGCATACCAATTATCATTGTAATTAGGTAGAACGATTTAATCACATAACAAATTATATATGTTTACTATTTATTAGTTTTATTGATGATCTTTTGCAACCTAATTGATAAATTAATAGCTACTAAATTAATTAAAGTAATTGACTATTATTTATTATTAGCACAAGCTTAATAGATAGAATATTTATAAATATTTTGCACATAATATGTATAAATATTGCATTACTATATAAAATAAATAAAAATGCTCATAACACATTAACTTTTCGTAGGGTAAGTTATAGTAATCGCAATAAAATCAAAAATGAAATCGTTTGTTTCTCTACGTTTATCTATACCTCTACGTTTCAAACCTTCTGAACATTTTGGCATTCCTTGAAAAATTGATATATGTGTTTGTGTTTGTGTATGAATGCGGATGCAATTTATTCTCGACGATTTTAAGAATACGGATTAACCGATTTGAATGATTCAAACAACATTCGATTCGTATTAATGGGGAGTCGTGCTGACTAATTTGTCGCAAAGGCAGTCCGGCTGTTTCGATGATACGGAGCAATAAGTGCTAAATGGCAATTCAGTTTTTGTAATTTTTGTCGATTTGAACGATTTGAAAAACATTTCACTTGTATTCACGAAATGAAAAATTGATAAAATTTTTGTGAAAGTAGATCCATTAATTTTGGAGATACAATGAAAAATTTATAAAAAATATTTGGCGGTCAAAAATGATCATTAGACATATGCACATCAAATTATCAAATATTTTATAGAGATTTTAATAATAAGTACAAATTTTGTTTACATTTCTATTGGTTCCGCACCAAGAATTATAATGTATAATCGTTAGACTACGTTTGATATTTTATGTTAAAATATGCTACTAAGCGTATTTGGTATGAAAAAAAATTCAAAATTTTCAAAAATATTCAGAATATATAAAGCTCATGAATTTCAAAATTCTCAAAAATATAATTCAAATTTTCAAAGTTATAAAGCTTATTTAAAAAATTTAATTTGCGGTACGGGAAGAGCTAGCAATTTGCCTTAAAGCAGAATGTCATACACCACTAGTTTTATAGGTTTCATTATCTCTAAATCATTCTATTACTAATATTAGCACTCTTTCAATAAACAATTAATTTGACAAAGCAATTTCAGTTAAATAAGAGCATAATGCGCATTTGATTGCTGTATTATCACAAAACGCCTACATTATTAATGAAATTTCAAGCGACTATTGTGCGAAATCCCGTTCGAATTCGGAACTCCGTGGAAAAAGAATAGTATTTCGTTCACACACACGCCATGTTACTCAAAAAATGAGTCAGTCACAAAACTGTTAAGGGGTTTCAAATGCACATGGGAGTATTCCCAACGAGGGTGAAATATAGGGGCGCGGACAGAATTCAAAACGCATATCTTTAACATATTCGGTCCCATGAGAGCGACGGAGACCCTACATGTACGACTGCTCGAGGGACAGAGCTGTAGGCATTCTATAGCAAACACTGCAGAACGGAACGAAGGAAAGTGCGATGGCGCGCTCGATGCAGGCAGGAACGAGACGGCGCAAGCGGCCGAGCCGCGATGGGCGGAGTTTCGATGATATTTTTTCATTATTTCAACTGCGTCCTTGTCGTTCATGTTACAAACGATCCGGAAGAGATGAAAGGCACGACTCACTGCAAGGCGTAAGCTTCATCATTGCGCGCCGACTCTCCCACAGATGCCTGTTAGCTCGTTTGCGTCGCACATCGGCCGAGTAGCATGAAAGAGATAATACAACCTATGAACGTGAGTGCTTCAACGCTTTATCAACAGCGAACCGTACGATCGCGAGTCGTCGCACTGATTCTCTCGTGACACTTCATTCGCGAAACCCAGGCCGCGCACAATCGGCGGCCGAACGTGTATTCGTGACGGTCTCTAAACAAGACTCTCACGCGAACCGCGGAATCGCGCGCGATACGTTTTATTAGTTCGATTCGTATCTTCATCGACGACATACGATAAAGGATTTATAGTGGTGTATAAACAAAGTGATGTGTATAGTGTTTAGTGCCGACGCGTATGTGTAGATAAAAAGTGCTAAAAACGTTTTGACGACCGAGCATGAGCTCGTTTTTAATGAACCCGGTATCAACCGGGGGAGGAGGTCTTCCGTATCAACAACCGCAGCATCATCAATTGACCGTTGTTGACCCAAAATTTCCACCGAACGAAGAATATAGTCAGAGTAATTATATCCAACCCGGAGGCGAACCGTTTTCCGGCCATTTACATCACCATCACCATCTCAATCAGCATCATCTCCAATATGGATATCACCATAATCCTGCGCATCACCACCAGAATGCTTATGGCATGCAGGTCAATGGTGGCTACGCGCCTTACGGATACGGTTACCACAGCACCCCAACGCACCATCATCAATTACACCAGCACCATCAGCAGCATCAACCGACGCAGCTGCGAAATGCTGGCAATAGTCTGCAGCAACACCCTGATGCAGCAGCATGTAGTCCGGTGAGCGCGCAGCATGAATGCAGCAGCAGCGCGTCGCCTCCGGGTCCAGCAGTCGGCGCCACCATACCTTTGCAGGAACTCGGCATGCGGCTTGATAGGCGCATCGAGGAAGCAGCGCCGACGGGACAGCAGCTGCAGGAACTGGGAATGCATTTGGAGGATCCCCCGTCGGATCAGGACGATCTGGACGATGATCGGCTCATGATGGACGGATCGCCTGCCATGGATGACGACGATGATCACGATGACTCCGAAAATGGAGACCGTGTAATATACCCGTGGATGAAGAAAATACATGTTGCTGGAGTTGGTGAGTTATACTAATATAGAGCAAAATAAATTATATATGAATTACCGTAACACAGCTAATCCATTAATAGAATCACGTGTAACAGGAAAACTCATAATATTTGATAATATCATCTTCTCACAAGATTAAGCATTCTAAGTTAATAATTTATAAAATATTTTCTTACAATACGTTTAATTACGATTGTAGAAGAATCTATTACAAATTAGCAACACACATTGTTGAATTATACATACATATACACACATATATATACAAATATAATTAAATCGAAAATCCTCTAAATTCCCATAAGACGATACATTCACATTTATAACAATCTAAAAGATTCAAAACACCACTCAGAACCGTAAAAAATTGCTGGATGCGTAAACGATTCTATCTATTGATTATATAATAGCATTCAAAACATATCTCATCCTATTTTGCACCTTGTCAGGTGAATCAATCACATGTCCGTCTTGAATAATGTTAGTTGTCACAACAGGCGTTACTTTAAATGTGGGTTTTTAAGGTAAAATATTGGTCCGAATATTGAATTGAAATTTATTAATGAGATGGCCATTAGTCCGCTCTTCAGGTTATTGTCGGTTCCACTGTGCCGCATTAGCGTTGAATATAGACGAATGTCTATTGTCCGTCAGCGTCAATAATTTAGGCTAATCGAAGCATTATAACAAAAAATCGAATGGGTACACAAAAGAATGGGCCTGACAACATAACAGAATATAGCCCCAGAGTCTGGTTAAGTTGGAAGGTACATATAACGAAAAATGTTGTTTTAACAGAGATAAGATAAATTTGATGGTCCATTGTCAAGGCGTGCATCGTATTTATCAAACTCGGATGCATGTTCCCACTGTGTTGTTATCCTTGATGGTGCTTTAATACACGTTCCTGAGAATTTGTTAGCCATTATTTCTCTTTTATTTGTGAAGTGTTCACATCAATCTATGTGCTCTTGACGCTTTGTGTGGCATTTGTCCCTGACGATTGCCGGTGAAGTTTGTTTGGTGTTTTTTTGTTCTCAGCAAAAGTGGCTCATTTTGAGGTAAATATTTGCGATAATGGTGGTACTTTAAAATGCAAGGTCAATGGGGCGTTTTACACATGCGTTTATTTTCTGACAATTATCACAAAGGAACCCAAACTCATTAAGTCAAGTACATAATAATGGCGAACTAGTTAGAAACAAATTGGTTTTCATTATTTAGTTTGTAAAGTTTAGGTTTTACAACAGAATATTTATGTATTGAACATATAACAAAATCAATAGAAGAGTTTAATATTGAACATTCAAACGCAAAAACGTTTAAAAAAATAATAAATTTCTATGGAACATTTACCAAATATTGAACCTTAAATTATTTTAGACCTTAAATTATTTTAGATTTTATTCTGGTAGATCAACTCAAGTTTTTAAAAATCTTAGTATTAGACTGAAATTAATACTGAAAATTATATGATTTTAACGTTTTAATGAACGATTGAAACCATTTGAAAATTATTAGTTCATATAATTTGACAAATCAGAAAAGGTTGCATTTGACTGTTCGAATAAACTAATTTTATACTCTTTTATTGTAACCTTTTATAAGCTTAATACAGAAATATTATATTGTAAATTTAAGCTCTATGAATTAAATAATAAAAGCCAAAGCATATTTGGAATGAACAAATCGAAACTATCTATCATTATTGATTATACAGAGAAATAGAATCTAATGCTGGCTTTAAAAGAAATAATAAAATTTTATTAATAAATTAACCAAAATATTGAAAATTTGTTATACAATCAGTTATTATACTGCTGAAAATTGCATAAATTCAACTTTTAAATAAGCGAGTATAAACATTTTGAAATTACCAACTAAGATAATTTGATCAATTACAAACTTGTACATATTTTTCAGCAGCATGCAAAAATTTACGATAGATCCGAGGCATAGACATCATATATTTATTATCTATTACCAAATTTCGAAATTATCCGTTCAATGTTCTAAAACATCTAAAATGCAATAATTAATAATGTTGCATGTAAACGGTGTAAATAAACTTAATAAAGGTACAATATAAATACGCATTTAATGAAAAATTTTATTTTCATTGAAACAGAAAAATAGTGTTTTAAAATTACTTTATAATTGATAAAAAGAAAGATGGTATTTCTTTCGCAGTATGTGTAATATTACAAAATTATTATTCTCAAAGAACTTCCTAGGTAAAGCATGTATCCGTAAGCAAGTATTTATTTCCACGAAGCGTATGATTGATGTGCGATCTACAAGTTTAATACTAAATGTGCAATTATGATTAATTTTAAATTAATTATTAAATAAAGCATATTACAATATTCAATTACTAAGTACATTTACACCAAGTACTAACGCACATTAACATATATCTACGTAACAACCACATCTTATTGTTAGATGCAATAACTGGCGGACATGGATTCATTTATAACAAGCGGCAATTTGTATATAATATATAGCTGCTATAAATATACTAACTAATGCACAGTAATGATAGCATAATTATACTTAATATAATTGATATATATCACAAATGATTTAGTTGATGTTTATAAATAAACGAGCGGTTTCGTTGTAAATGCAGCTTTTAAAAACATATTAATGCAATATTGTTTTGTTTGCAACTTAAACATTTACATTATACATTTATAAAATAAGTTTTGAAAAATTATGTGATTATATCTCTCGGAACTATTTTCATGCCACGTGCTAAAATATGTCGAATAAAGAGCAACTTGTCATTGGATTAAATTCCTTTTCACTGAAAATTCAAGGGCCAATTATCCGATAAAAATTGTTATATCACATAGCGTTGTTATGGCGAAATTATTATGTTAAATATTATGTTAAAGTCTATTTTATCGGTGAATCAACCCCTATGTCTCATAAAACTATTTTTATGTAAAATACTTCAATATATCAAATAAACAGCAACTTATTATTTGTTACAAGTTAACATTGAAATTAAATTGAATTATTTTTCATATGACTGAAAATTGAGTGATAAAATGTAAAAAAAATGAGCTTTCAATTAGAAACAAGATTGTCGTTTACATTCTAACTGTTACCCATAACTCTAAATGCGTCGATTAGCAATTATTGACGAACCTTTTAATATCTTAAGCATTAAGAGCTAAGGTTTATGAATTATTATATACCTTATTTTATTTTCAATAAAATGCAAACGTCGAAGATAATCTAGTTATTTAGAATTTATCGAAGTTTGAAGTACTACATTTAAACGTGTGAAAACTATAGAAAATTTGCATGTTTTTGCATATATCAAAAATGATTTATTGACATCAATCAGTAGCATTAATGTGTTTCTATTATTTATTGGACATTTATATTTAATTTAAGGGATATTATAGTCTAGAAGCTTCAAATAATATATATATTTTTTATATTTCTGTTCAACTATTTAAGAATATCTTTTTTCATTTTTTTTTCATTTTTGGAGATTTTCGCTTTTTTCTCCTTTGAATTTTTTTCTGTATACTTAAATATTCATTAAAATTAATAATGGATAGTATAAATATTGTTTGCCTTTTTACGGATTTTCAAGCATGGCATGAAATTCATCCCTTAGACTTGAATAGCGCCTTAAGTATTTAAAAAATAATGATCAAAACACACAACTTTCTCAATTGTTGACTATTATTGTTTTGTTGAATAGTCTTATTGCAGTAATAATACAACTTTAGTTGTTTATTTACTGCAATAAAATTAAATGTTTTCCTCTTATCGTCATTAATAGAAACTTTAATACAATTTGCAATGCTTAATACCACGTTTTACATATTTAGTTGATAAACTTTTTATCTTACTTTTGTAGAGAATGATTAAACTGCTTTATAAAAAATTTTAGTCAATATACACTTTGGTTGTCTTAAATCTTAAATCAGTTTTTGGCGCTTTTGGTTTTGGTGTTATCATGATAACACTAATTGACATCAAAATTGTAGAAAATACTTAATAAAAATTGAACGTAAATACAGAAAATATAAATCTAAATATTGCACATTAGTTACTACGATAAACGTTATTTATACTATTATATTTAATAATTTACTATTTGAAAACTGTATATATACACATAATACTTGATTTCAGATGATAGCAAAATTAAGTAACGCACACAATAATGCGCAATGCGAAAAACGAGAACCATAATTTTTAATGTACCCATAATTATAAAATTGTATTTATTTCTTAAAAATTTACAAACTAAATAATAACTACCCGGTTATATTAATATGTACTTAATAATAATAGATACTATGGTTTTCTTGTAACATTAGAGATGGAGGTAAAATTCGGGTTGCATTTTTCAGAAGAACTTACCACGTTGAATGTACATATAAATCAACGATTTTTAATTTATACAACGCTTTACATCCGTCAAATATGTATGTAACAAAGTGTGAGTCAAATCGCATCCACATTGCTTTAAATTTTTTTCGAGCAGCTTTTCAATCGTTTTGATTCTGTATATTGCAACAAAACCATCGTCTGCAAATGACTCATTAAAATCGCTCGAGAGCAGAGTAAGAAAAAACAAGTGATGTGCGCAAAAAAGATGGACAGACGGGCTGAGACGCGGGCTTGGCTCGGATACAATTTTGCAATGCCTACGCAACGACCGGCGGCCCTTATTTCCTATATGCGTAATTTGTTTTCTATAATACGATCTTCGGCGTTAACGATGTTCTTAAGTAATTATCGGAAAAAATGAAAAAGAAAAACAAACGCAAAACGAGATCGCATGCATTGAAAACCTTGGTCAGAACGGCGTGTGCAAATTTATAATTGCGCGTAGACATTATCGCAACTTCGCGAAGACCTCACACGAAGCCGAAGGAGTCGCATCGTGACATCGCAATATGGCGGCGCAAAGGGCTCGAGACATGATGGAATAATATTCAAACACATCGATTCAATACTTTTCATAGCCGTAGTGGA